AGCTGACAAAAAATTCCCTTTAGTTACAAGTCTGTCGTGGTTTTGTAGCGCAACACGTTCAAATAGTTGCCTTTAATTGCTGGTATCTAATCGCTTCCTTCATCCATTTGTTTTTATGATCTACCTGAGACTGCCTTTTGCTTCGGACCGGCTGAAACAGAGGCGTGGGCTGGGGGAGCTGCCGGGACACTTTGGACGGGCCCGGTTACTCTCACCGCCAACTGTTTGCCCTGTTATCGGACAGAGCCTCCCTCATCAGTTCTGCTTTCATCACTTTTGTTCTCGAACCAGCGCAGTCCATTTTTTTAGCTACGGCTCGTGTGACGTGGCAGAGGCGTAGGTGGGGAAGGCCTCCCGCGGTGCCCATCCCGCGATGTTCTCTGGTGCCGTTCCGTACTGGGGGAGCACTGGTGGCCTCTCTAATACACAAGGAGGCAGTGCAGTCAAGACTAATGCTCTGCGCGTGGCACGCGCCCGGAGCATGTGCATTGGTTTCTGGCACCGCTTCTGCTACCACCAGTTCCTTTTAACTGGGGGGAATCAGGACAGGGCGAGGAGGAAGCAGGTGCCTGGCGAACCGCAAATTAACCTCAGCCTGGACATGGCAGCCCTGTGCTTCCTCTTGCTATGCATTGGCACCTGGCAACGCTATATAAGTGCTCAAGTCCCATTATATTTAACTCGCATTCCTCCAAAATGACAAACCTGCCAAAGGACTGACAAGGGCTGTCCGATGACCACTGCCTGGCTAATGCGTGTGCTGGAAGACCTGTTCAGATACTTCTCGTTATCCACCTCAGTCCATGCAATAATGGCCATTTAAATAGCCCTACCTGATGAAAACTGCATCGCATGCGTTATCATGCCACGTAATTAGCCATAATTCTATAGTTATCACAGAAAAAAACCCAAACCCCTTTAGGGAAAGCAGTTGAGTTATGTGTAGTAGCTTTAAGATATGGCAAAGTTTTTCATTTGATTTGGTGCCTTTTCATTGTTTAAGATTTGAAAACTCTGTTTAGGGCCAACCACGACCTTTTGAAATGTGAGGCAGCCTTCGGAATATCGGCCCTTTCAGAGTCCTGGGGCCCAGTCCCAGGAGGCCAGTGGCCGTGAGTGTGAACAGCAGTCCCTGGAGGCACCGGGTGGTTCGTGGGACAGGGAATAAGGAGGCAAGGGCTGCGCTAAATCTGCCAGATTGCCTTCAGCCTCCTGCCCATGAGCATGGGTTCTGCAGAGCACATCATTTAGGTTGGACATTAGGAAAAATTCCTTCCCCAAAGGGCTGTCAGGCTCTAGAAGGGGCGGCCCAGGAAGGGGTCGAGTCCCCAGCCCTGGGGGGATTTAACAGCCGGGCAGAGGCGGTGCTGAGGGCCAGGGTTTGGGGGTGGGATGGCAGGGGTAGGGGAACGGTTGGGCTTGATGAGCTCAAAGGGCTTTGCCAACCCAAACAATTCTGTGATTCTATGATTCTCCTCTCAAAGGCAGTGTACTTGCACGGCTTTGTGAGTTTGCGTGGCTGTTGCAAAGGCAAGTCTCTTGAAAATATTATTTTGATCGTTGTTTAATGTAACAAAATGTGAATACTTGCATCTGATATTAGGACAAACAGAGGAGAACCTAGCAGCCCTGCGAGAATCACAGAGGGATAAGTAAATGCGGGACCAGCAGAACATCCCTGCCCCCACTTTATTTCCTAGAACTATTTCCTAATTTTCCTGTTTGATGACATCTTGAAATTGTGATTCACCTTTTCTCTCTATAACGTGTGTTATACCAGACGATCGATATGTGGATTCACTTCATTCACTCTCAGCGGTATTCATCTCCTCTTAGCGCTTCACAAAACACATCACAGCGGTGCTCACGATGCTTCATAACTCTGCTGCAGTCTGGAATAACCTCAGCTGCCCATGTTTCGATTTTTTTTTTTTCCCCAGAAGGTGATTATTTTTTAGTCAATAACATGAAAATTACTAACTTCATCAGAAAAAAAGTCAAGTTTTTCTTTCAACATGTATCTTCACAGCAGCAGTGGGTGTCCAAGCCCTGCTGTCTGCCAGGCACCTTGCCCAAACTATAAAATAATGAGGTTCAATTGTAGCCACTCTGGACTGAAGCAAAAAGTAATGAGGTCCACTTGTGTCGTGATAGTTGAGGAAGATGAAAACAGTGAACTGGAAAAAGATTCTTAGCAGCAAAATGTAAAACTCTAGACTAAAATCTATCTTAATTTATTAATTTTGTGAGATACTATAAAATAGGCAATAAAAAGGCAGGAATATGAACGTTCACATTTGGATTCTTAGTTAAAGAAATGCAAGTTCCATTACATGGCTTCTTCCACTACTCTATTCTTTCATGAGTTGTGTGATCCTGACACTCAAGATCAAGGTGCTAGGCTCCTGATTATTAAATTATCATAGTAATAAGTAAGTCTTATACTTGGTAATAATCTTCAGTAGATGCTAGTGAGTCCAGAATTCAATGATTTCAGTATTAAATTTGTTCTGGTAATTTTCACGTACTTATTCAGACCGTAGATATTTTGCTTATCTATTTACTGGAAATTCTACAGGTATAATGAAAAATCTTTGATGAGTTTATACAGAATGCCTTGAGATTAGGTTGCTAAAGCAAAGCATCGATCGGAATAAAATCTGAACATGCCGAAATGTAGGACTGTCAAGTGACGATAAAACAAGTTGTGAAATTTCTGAAATACGGGGGGCAAAACAGTGGGGATTGAAACATGCCCCTTGATTTGTACCGCCCTCAGCGGTGGAAAGCAGCGGTCGCTTCTCTGCGCCGGCTGCAGCGCGAGCGTAGATCCGCAGCGTCGGGAGAAAGCAAGGTTCAGGTGCGCCTCTGCCGTGTGCGCGTGCGGATCCTGAAGTACAGGAGGCGCTGATTAGTCTGGTTTATGCTGAGGATTAATTGATTGTATCCAGACTGATTCCAGATGATGACTGCAGTAATTTTCCAATATTTATTACATACGGGTTGGTCTTCTAATTCTCTTAGTATCAGATACGAGAGCGAGACGGAGAAATGGAGAGGGAAAACAAATATTTGACTCCAAATTTTGATTTTTCAGCTACCTTGCTATTGTCCCCAGATTGCTCAGAATCCTTCAGTCCTCCTAAAGACAGACCTTAAGGATCATCAGGCTCGCTGACAACAGCCTTTTCAGGACTGGGCTTTGTTATGCCAGTAGGATTTTATCCATCTGTTTTTATTTTTAGGTATGTAAAAGGCTCAAAATTCATTCCAGATGATAGATAGCAATCTTGTCTTTTACTTTCCCCTAGGTAAGAACATCCAACCTATCTTAACCACAAATACCATTTCAGTCCTGCATTTATTCCCACATCTGCAAGCCAGCTATGACTCTGATCCTTCCAGTGTTCTGGCAGGTGCTTAATTTTTACGTATGCCAGTATCTGTGTGTACCCCATCGGAGTATGGGTTTCCGTACGTAGAGAGGGAGAGATCTTTTTCTCCACAGAGCTAGTTCCAGCCACTACAAGGTAGCCAGGCATTTCTAAAATCATTGCATGCCAGTGGTGGGTGTTATATATGAAAAGTAGAATCGACACATATTTCTTGGGCATCCGTATGGTAGCTAAGACACAGATAAACCGGGCTGCTGTTACTATTGAGTTGGAGGAGAGTTGAAGTGGATGAAAAGAAATTTAAAAAAAAAAAAAAAAAAAAAATGATTCGGCTCATTGTAGATACTCTGCTCTTAGACCCAAAATGGTCATGGTATTGACAAATCTGGAAAGGCCTGTAGGAAGGGGGGAGTGAGAAGGGCTTATTCGCCGTGCTGGGCTTTGGGAGAGAAGAACCGCTCCGTGAAAGCGGACAGTCAGCCTCCCCGTCATTCCGGGATGCCTGTGCTGCTCCCGCCCAGGGAAGGAGATTGGTGAAATACTGATGCCAGCGCCCAGTAGAACAATCTCAGCTGGTATCCAAGATAAGCTCCAGTTTTGCAGTTTCAACTGTTGAAACAATCCCTTAAATTCCTACCAACCCACGGTAAATGGCGCCTAATTGAACAGGATCAGAATTTCCCGCATTTTAAGATAGCGAGACAAATTTCTCCGTGACCATAAGCAAGCGTAACTGTTGGCTTCAGCGGACTCCCGTCAGCGAGGGGAGCTCTGCGCTGGGCCCGTCTGCCTGCGGAGCCGGCAGCGAACGCTTCGGGGGTGCCAGCGCTGCGAGGAAGATGCGTTTTGACAGGAGGGGGAATACCGAGGAGGCAGCGGGAAGCACCTGGGCGCGTTGTGCTGCTGGGCAGGCTTCCCGAGCAGCGGGGCTCGGAGCGCGGAGCTGCCTGTGGGTCTGTCACTTTGCTCCTCTCCGTCGGGGTTGATTTTTCAGAACTACTTTGTCTCCAAGGTGTCATTTCCCTGATGGCTTGCCTGAGCCCGTGAGGAATTCACATACTATTATCCGCTTTGGATATGTCTTAAATTCCTGAGAAAACTCCAGAGCGCTTTCTTTATTATAAAAAGTAATGGGAAAGAGATGGTAGCTTGTCGTCCTGCTATTTGTTTAGAAATGTAATTTTTGGTAGCATGTCTTTCTGTAACTCACTGGACTTGCTGGTTTCGAGAAAAAAATAATTTAGAAAGACCCATGAAATTACCCTACAAAATGAAGCTGCTAATTTATTTAATATTTGTTGCCCTTACACCGTTCATCACGTTGTGAAATTTAAGCTAATACTGCATTGAGAAAGAGGAACGCAACGTTTGAAAGACTGCGGTGGCCGAGAGCGCACTAGTACGCTGTCACAGCGGATACTCGTAAAATTTCAGACACCTACATTGATCGGAGAATAAAAAAGGGAATGAAAGAGCGCACAGTTTGATCTCAAACACGTCAAGCCGGGACAGCCTACCGAGTTTGAAACCTGACCACGAGTTTGCATTACTCGCTCTTTGCTGCTTAATTTCCAGCTGTGGGAGCCACAGGAATGGGCTGCAGGCATGGGAATGCTGCTGCTGCTGTCCCTTCGACAGGGAGTTTCCCTGTTCCTGACTTCCCCTCCCAAAGGCAAGATGGTCTGGCCGGTAAAACAGTGGCTTCTTTCTATGCAGAGGACAGCAGGAAGAAATGCAGGAATTATTTTGTTTCTGAAAAATTCCCCTTAAAAAACAGACGTTCAGTGCTTTGCTTCCTCTCTCACTTGTTAGGTCTCTCCCTTTAAAAAAAAGTGTTCGTCCTCATTTCTTAAAATCTTGCTGCTTTTATATCCTCACATTAAAACTGTGTATTCTGAGGGTCATAATTTGGTAGGCAGCTCAGATCCAAGGTTTTCAATAATTTGTTTGGAGAAAAGTCAAGTGTCAAGAGTCAATAAAAGTTGAGTGTCAAGAATTAATAAAAGTTAAAGCCCATGCCAGCCTTCCATAAGTCTATGCCAAACCTATGTTTGGGGAGATCTTTTTCTTAAAAAAACAAGGAAACCCAACCAAAACGCAAGCAAACATCAAACTGTCTTAATACCAGTAAAGGCCATTTCATAGGAAAAGATGACCCATCTCAAAAACCAAGCCCTGCCCTGCTGCTCCTTCTCCACTAAAGCATTATTGCCTGCCAGAGAAATGTGCTCTTCCATCCATCCACTCTTCCATCTACCCACCCACCCAGCAAACACCCAAGCATGGACTGAAAACCCCTCATTTTAGGTGAAAAGAGCACTGCCTTCCCCCTGTGGTATGATGGAAGGTGCAGTGTGACACTTGCTTGATCCCAGCTTACTGTGTGCTGCTCTTTATAAAAAGGTGAACGTAGGCCTGATGAGGGGTTTATTGCGTTCAGGTGACGTCCCCCAAAGGGAGGGGACGGCCGGGTGGCCCTGCAATGACTTTCTGAGCGTTACCGGCCGTGCGCAGCTGGCAGCGCTGCTGCTGCTCAGTGCAAGCAGCTGGGGAGTCTGCAGAGGGCCTGGGAAATTCTTATAAGAGGCAGGGAGGAGCCACCCATGAAGGGCTGAGGAAAGTCTCCTTAGGCTTTAAAAAGGGAGCCTGAGGTTGTAGCACTCCAAGAATGGAAAGCTGCTGGAGCTGGGAGCAGGATTTGGATGTGCAGGTACCAAGGGCAGGGAGGAGCTTGCTTACGAAGTGTTGTATTTGAACCTGTCTCTTCCAACAGATTTGCATTTTTTTCTGTTTGAAAAGCTACCTTGTTCCAATTTGGGTTCTTCTGAAACTTAGCTTAGGAATTGAACACCTTTAACTGCTTTTTGGAGTGCTGGTGCTAAGGCAAAGGTGCAGGTGGTTCTGCCGTAAAGCTCTGGCTTGCTGCCTGCCCTGTCATGTGGGGCTATAAAAGTCGTCTCCTCCAAGGCAAATTTGTTGGTTCTTGTGGCAAAGCTGGAGCTGTCTCTTTGGCTGTGTGTTGGCATGTGGCTGTGGGTATCCTCATGGCAAATCGTAGTCCTGTGATAAACTTTGCTTATCGTGTGGCTTTGAGGATTTCACCTGCTTTGGCCAGATTTCCCACAAGGTGCCTGAAAGGTTCCAACCCTTTGAGCCATCTCAGCTGACTTCTTTTCTTTCTCTAAATAAACTGCCACAAAAATGGACCTTTCCCACCCTCCCTGTGCCAGCTCTGGAGTTCCATCTTGCACTTGTGTTAACCTGCAGCCCAGCAGGGCAATAGCCCACTTCTGACCAACGCTGAATTGCCTTGAGACAGCCCCTTAGAGCAGATGAGCAGTGTGAGCGAGAGCTACAACACTGATACTGTTAACGAGGGGAAACTGCACTGAGTTAATGAGTCCTGAGATGGAACAGATTTCATGGCTTTTAAAAGCAGCCAATAAATACAGCTTCAGTTGTACTATTTCTCCTCTGAAGTCTGCAGAATGAGACTCATCAGACTTAGGCAGTCTGCTTTGCAGTCAGGGGAATCTTAAAATGTAACTCAAATAAGTTGAGGAAAAAACCTAAAAATGCTATATGCTGGCTCTAAAAGAGTATACACATGTGGGTTGCCATGCAGTTTTTATCACTGTTGTGGTTTAACCCCAGCCAACAGCTCAGCCCTCCCAGCCGCTCGCTCCCCCCCGCAATGGGATGGGGAGAGATTGGGAAGGGTAAAAGTGGGAAAGCCCCCGGGCTGAGCTAAAGGCAGGGCAAGAGGCAGAGCAAAAGCCACGCACACCAGCAAAGCAACCCCAGGGATTCATTCCCCGCTTCCCACGGGCAGGCGGGGGCTCAGCCCCCCCCAGGAGAGCCGGGCTCCATCCCGCCTGACGGTGACTGGGGCAGGCAAACGCCATCGCTCCCAGCGTCCCCCCCTTCCTCCTCCTTCCCCCAGCTCTCTGTGCTCAGCATGAGGCCATGGGGTGCGGGACACCCCGGGGGTCAGGCGGGCTCAGCTGTCCCCCCCGTGCCCCCCAGCCCCTCGCTGGTGGGGTGGGGTGAGCGGCAGAAGCGGCCTTGGCTCTGTGTGAGCCCGGCTCAGCAGGGACGAACCCATCCCGGGGTGCTCAGCGCTGTTCCCAGCACAACCCCAAACCACAGCCCCACGCCAGCTACTGGGAGGAGAATTAACCCTGGCCCAGCCCGATGCAGCACAAGCGCTCGTTATTGGGCCGTAACTCGTGTAGCGGGGCTGGGAGCCCTGCTGTGGCGAATCCCGTAGCCGGAGCTTCCTTTCCAGGTATTACTGTATAATAAATATTCAGAGACTGGTGCTAAAGAAGGTAGCTAATGACAAGCTTGAGTTCTCAAGCACAAATATTATATATGTTTATATATATAAAGAGAATATAAAAATTCTCTCTGTAAGAGAATTTTAGTTCAGACCGTACAGAGCCTAATCCCATCCTCATACCAGTTTTATATGGTTCATTAAACAGACTTAGGTCCATATAAATCGTCAATAAGTGCGATCGGAAGCACATGATTTGGTGGTCATTAACTGAGGTTATGCTATTCATTTTCTCATTACAGATCTAAGCAAATCAATGTATTTGAAGTACAGATATTTTTCCCCCATATAACCTTATCAGGGTGCATCGCCACCCGGTGTTACAGAGCTGTGTGTTCCTTGCTGTTGGGTTTTGGCAGGGGCCAGAACGGGTCCGCGTTTACTGCTTCGGTGCTGCGACGGTCAGCCGCGGCCTTGAGCGAGAAGTGAACTCTGCGTGCTTATAGCCCAGCTTTCCAGTTGCATTTTCTTAAAACTTGCTGGGTGTGCGATCCTATAAGTCACCGCTGTTTTGTGCTGGTCAGGGGAGTGGCGAGGGGTGGGCAAACTCCTCTCCATAATTTTCTACCATCTCAATTCTACTTTTTCATAAGGAGAAAACAAACAAAAATACCAGTGATATAGCAGGCTTATCACTGTTTTTTTTCTGAAATTATGAAGAAAGAAAAGACTTGGTGATTAAATTGAAGTTGTTCCTGGGTTCTCTTCTACTTTTTGTTGGGTTGTTTTTTCCTATTTCTCACTCGAAAAATGGTTTGTGGTGGAGTAAGGGAAGAGGAAACAAAAAATTAAAAATTAAAAAAAAAGGCTTTCAGTGTAGTTTAATTTAGATTTGTAGTATCAGTTCCCCCTGTTTCTAGTGTTCTTCAGTTACTGATGCTGAATTGCATATTAAAAGAGCATGTTTTAATTTATCTGCAAGATGACAGAGGAAAAATGAGTTCAGATTTATTAAAGTTACAAGTTAAAAATTAATTGAAAAACCTATTCCTGGAAAATGGTCTCATTCAGAATTAAACTGTGTTTAAAGTTACTGTGTGTGTAACTTTATGTGCTTTAGAAGAAAAGCGAGTTAAATTACCCTAATTATGGAGACTAACTCTGAATAAATTTGTCTAATCAGCCTTTTGATATGTTTGCAATGCGACTTGGAAATTTAATTTGTTTTCCCAAGTGTAAAGATTGACTTGGATCTAGTCTTTAATTACTCCTGTATTCCGATAAAAAATTGACGTCCTCTCTGAACTGTCCACTGTAGAATCTGTAAAATCTTTTTTTGATTCTGCAAGGAAAAGGTTTAATTTAATGTCTGCAATGAATTAAGATCGTGGTGTTAATAATGCTACGTAATATGGGATGGTTAAATAATTTGAAATGTTGGGAAAATCATTTCAGAGCAGCAAATGTGCAGTTTGATGCTATTAGCTGGTGGGGGGGGGCGATGAGCAAGGAAGGAATGGTGAGCGTGGCGTGGTTCATCTCTAATGCTGTCGTATCAGGAGCGAGGTAACGCTTGCTGTAGCAGTAATACCCCGTTACAATTACGCGTTGAAATATATAAAATAACCCAGAGGGAGTTTCCGAGTTATTTTAGAACTTTAACTTTTTGCTGGCGTGTTTGTGGGAAAGGAAGGGGTGGGGGAAGCTGAGAAGAGATTTGGAACTTCTAGATGAAGTGAAACCATAGCAAAGCCTGTAGCCAGAGGCTGGCACGGGGAGTGCAGTCTGCACTTGATGTGTTACTCCTTACAGGTGTTTACAGTAATATGCCAAGGAATAGAATCGTAGGTTCTTGCCTTGTTCAGGAGTGGTGACAGCAAGCCAGGCTGGGTGGTGGAGCTCCCCAGGCTTTCATTCAGAGCCATGAAGTGAGGGTTCTAAGCTTGTCTTCTAGTCAAATGCCAGATAACCTGATTTATAAATGGTTCAAATCCAGGCTGTGGGTTGTGGGGAGACCTGTCTGGCAAACTGGACAAATTATTTATGCCCTTGTCTAAACTTTAACTGGATTTCCTTCTGGGGCTGAAATATCTCTCAGCCCCCGTGTTGCACCTGAATCGCGGCGGGACCGGCACCCCTTTGGCTTCTCCCCTGGCCTCTGTTTGCCCGCGCGGGATCTGAAGCCCGACTCACACTGCCATTCTCTCGAAAGCAGAGCACGTATCTCCCTTGGCAGCGTATAAAATATAAAATACAGTTGTGTCTGTCAGCACAAATAAAATTTCTTTTTATTTCATCTAACCATATTTGGAAACCCTGGTCCCAGTTGTCAGTGTCTCCAGGTAAATCTTCCAAGCCCTTCTGGGTTGTTGTGAAGAACATGAAGCCGTGGCGGGTTTAAAAACATTTT